GACTGGGGTTCAGAATGGCTAGTGGGGGGGACGGACTGGAGCATGGGCTCAGGAGCTAGTGGGATAACAGCGCTGAGGATTGGGACAGGGAAGGGGGGCTGCAGAGACCCATGGGGAGGAGGGGTGCGGGAACAGAGACGGATGTGCCTGACTGAATGGGAGAGGCTTGGGGTCAGCCAGGGTCTGCATGGAGGAGAGTTTCCAACACCCTAACAATCCCCCCGCACCCCCACCCCCAAGGAAAACTCTCCCACCGACACCCAACACCCTCCAGGTTCACTCCTAGGCTCCTTCCCTCTCCCTCAGCTCTTCTGTTACCCCTGACTCCCCAAAGCCTTTGCACTGCTTCTGACATGTGCAGGAAATACTGTTCTATGTTGTAATTTAAATAAATTACACAGAGTTCTGTATTAATATGCCTAGTAAGGAATCTATTTGTCAAAAAACTTTTTTTTGGTTTGTATTATTAGACATACTTGCTGACAAATATTTTGAAATAAAGTAACAAAATAATTGTAACTGACATGATTATATTGTATTATTTTGACAAATACAATATGCAGAATTTTGCAGAATTTTTAGTTTTTTGGCACAGAATTCCCCCAGTAGTAGTGTTTATAACCAAGTAGACAGAACCTCCTTGATTTTTTTTTTTTTAGGATTTATAAGGGTTGCTTATCTGTAAATTAATTTAAAAAAAAAAAAAAGTACTGAGTCATCTTTGTTTCAATGAGCAATATGTGTCAGAATCATAGAGAATCTGTGTGGATGTGAACCAGTTCACCTAGGAGCCTAATCAGCTCTCTTTACATTAACTTTTCATTTTCACACAGCTGCCCTTCATTCATTATAGATTTTAGTTTTTCCCCGTGTTCCAAAATGAACCTGAGATTAGTGTAAATAATTATATTTTCTGAGAAGCGCTTGGTAATTAGCTACTAGCATCTGGAGGCTGGCTGACAGACAGACTTCATCCAAATAGGTCCAGCTTTAAGGTCTTTCTCCCTAAGTGTTGATTTGGGAAGCCCTTGTTTAGGATTTGGATCCCTGGAGAGTAGCTACAACAAGAGATCCTTGTTACAAGGGGAGAATAAAAGTACTCAGAACCTTTGGAAGGGGCTTGATAACTTTTTGTCAGCACATTTGGATGTGGCTTGAATTGAGGCAGGAGGTCTTTTGGAAGCTCCAGTAATCCCCTTATTTATCAGTCTGGCAAGCAAGGAAGGGAGAGTGCAGAATGTCTAGCAGTTTGTGTGGTTTCTCTTGCATCTCCTCCACTGTTATGTCAAGAGCCTCTGCCATGCATTTAATATGTTGGAATGCCTTAAAATCATCAACTGGCGAAAACATTGAGGGGTTCACTGCCTCATTAGGGAAGGATAAGGGAATTGTGGCCAGGATTAATTGTTCTCCCTCATCTGCCTGATATACGCTTCTCTCTTCTTCCCATCTCTTTAGTATCTGAGGCTGTATTAATTGACCTGGCTGGAAACATCTATATTGCCTCATAGGAGAAGAGGATCTAGCCCTGGGAGTGGGGGCAGTAGCTACTGGCTTGCAAGTATGTGGGTTGCATACCCCAGGGTGCCTAGTAGGGCCAAGGTTGATAGGCACATGAATCTTGGATTGGTGGAGGCAGAGAAGGATACTGTGGGGCTGGTCTCTGAAGTCCATGCCTTTTCCGCTGAGAGCAATCCCTAAAGTCCCTCCTGGATTCCCATTGTGATCCTTGTGAAGGGATAGGAGGGTGAGTGGGAAAGGAACCCTCCTGTGTACCGATGGGGAGGTTGAGAAGGAACACACCATCTCCACAGGTGAGGCTACCCTTTCAGGCATACTGAGGCACTCTGATGTCACTTACTCTCAAGTAGGGGATAGAGTTGGTATTACCTATTTTGTTTGTGTTACCGAGGTCTCATGACCAGGAGTCTGACCAGCACCACCTTCAGCCTATCCAGCAAGGTGACTCCTGTATTGGGCCCACAGCTAAATCACCCAGTACACACACATGCCCTAGGTGCCAATAGGGATGATGCTGAGGAACTGGCTAGTGAGGAGGTCAGTACCAGAAGAAGAATGATCCAGAGGTGCAGTGGAGATACTATAGGCACCTGTTTAATAGTTGGTACCAAGGCACCAGAGGGTTCTTTCTCAGGATGTTGGCTGCCCTTTGAGTTTGAGAAGAGTGAGACCTATGGTGATTTTTGTGTCTGTTTTTCATAGGCACTGGGGGAGGGTGACCTGTGTCTTAGCTCAACTCTGGAGCAATGATGATCCCTCCAGCACCTTTTCAAAGCTATTGCGACAGAGATTGAAGCCCGTGACTGGGGTCCAATGTTTCCCTGGAGCTTGGGGTAGAATCGCAGCTCTCCAGGGCACTCATTAAGAGGGACTGGGCAGGGGACTGTGCCTTTGTTAGGTCCTTCCTTTCTGTGTCCAAAGAGGCCTTCCTGGAGCACTCCAGAAGGAATAATCTCAGTGGGCCTTTGGAAAATGAGTGGCAGATAGAGCAACATTCTGGAATATGCCCCTTGCCTAAACAAAAAAGCACCTAGAATGCCCATCGCTTAGTGGTATAGAAATGTCATACAAGGGGCAAGATTTAATCTCTGGGTTTTCAGCACAGTGGTTTAGTTTTTCTTTCTTTCTTGGTTGCTAGGAAAGCAGGCGGACAGTGCAGCGATTCAGTCCTTCTGCCATGGGTGGTAAGAAAGAACTGAAGGACAGTAGGGACTGCGCCTGCCCTTTTATACCCTTGGGTGGTGCGAGGACGTATAGGGGTGTGGCCCCAATGGACCCTGCTGGCCAAAAGAATCCAGTCTCGCATGCATGAGCACCAAGAGAGGGATCCATGTGGACAAATACTCAAAGATGAAACATGATTTATTCATTTCCCAAGCTATAAAATTCCTTCTCAAGCCTATCTTCAAGAAAACAGTCTTTATTTTCCCAAAGACAAAAGAATGATAGATTAATAGAAGAAAATAGATTAATGTTTGTCAGCATATCTTATTCATAATATTTATGTTCATATCTTTAGAGGTCAAAATATTAGAGAAGTACTTGATTTCAGTTTTTGTATACTGGCTTTTAAAATTCCTTCCTTGTTTGGTGAGGATTCTTCAGCTGCCCTTTTCTGTATACTCCTTGTGAAGCTCTGTCACTGGCACTGTCAGACAGAGGTTACTGGGCTAGATTGACCATTGGTTTGACCCTATATGTCAGCTCTTATGTTCCAAACTAGGTACTGATCCAGCCAACTCAGATCACTAATGCAAAATCAATCTCCCTCCTAACCCCCTAGCTAGAAGGCATCTATTATGTGTTTATCAGTTCAAATTTAATGTGAACAGATTTTGATAATGGAACCACATATATTTTCTTGATTCAGATTCAATTTGAAAGCTATTCTCTTGCTGATAAGGGAGCCAGGGATACTATGGGCTGAAAGTATAATGTAACATTTGCTTTAAAAATTATGTTTTATAAAGTAATAAATCTTCATGGAGTTTATCAAAGGAGAAAATGTCAATGAGGGAAAATGCCTTATGCTTTATTAATTTTCCATACATATTCGTTCATAAATGTCTCAAGAAATGTAAAATAATCCCATTTAGGGAGAGATCCTTTCATCTCCAGGGATGATAGATAAGGGAAAAGGCCAAATGTGGTTGGTTAGTCACGATTCCTTATTCAGGTTCCCACCTAATAATGCAAAGGCTGAAGTTGGTTATTTGCACATTGTGAATCTGGGAGCATCAACTATACTAAATTCATATTGAATTTCATAATACATAGTACTTATCTATATATGTACTGCACTACTTCCCTGTTATGTGGCACTTACACAGTTCCCCACTGCACTGAGGGAATAGTAATGAGGATCAAGGCCCTAATTATTCTCTTTGTGAAAGGACTTTCTGGTTGGGGAAAGGTTTTACTTCTAATTCAAGTACATTGTTGTTGCAGCTGTAGTATTTGAGTGTTTTGCTGCTGTGAAGATTGTGCCACACTGACCTGCTGTCTGTCTCTCTTTGCAGTGCCAATCTTTCCAAAGCTGCCTGGGGAGCTCTGGAGAAAAACGGCACACAACTGATGATTCGTTCATATGAACTTGGAGTCCTTTTCCTGCCTTCAGCATTTGTAAGTTCATAATTCAGCAACGAAAGCCTAGATACTGTGACAGTCTGCAAATGCTGATATCTTACAAAAAAGTCTGTAACCACATTATTCTATCCCATTGTATACTTGTTTATTATTTCTTTTGTTTAATTTTTGGGGGTTTAGTAGTTTTTTTAGCGTTATAGAACTTAGTGCTTTAAAGAAAACCCATATGTTTACCCATATATCAGGCAGGAATTTGGTACCTAGATGGGTTTTCATAGTCTCCTTATGATAAATACAGTAATATGCAATACTTTATGGATAAGATTCAGAATCTTTTGCTAGCTCCGCTCTGAGATTACTCTCTGAGGGCAGGTCTTCACTACAGGGGGGGTCGATTTAAGATACGCAAATTCAGCTACGCGAATAGCGTAGCTGAATTCGACGTATCGGAGCCGACTTACCCCGCTGTGAGGACGGCGGCAAAATTGACCTCCGCGGCTCCCCGTCGACGGCGCTTACTCCCACCTCCGCTGGTGGAGTAAGAGCGTCGATTCGGGGATCGATTGTCACGTCCCGACGAGACGCGATAATTCGATCCCCGAGAGATCGATTTCTACCCGCCAATTCAGGCGGGTAGTGTAGACTTAGCCTGAGTCTGGGCTGAGATTCTGCGTAACTCAGCAGAAATGTGTTGTCATACTTTCAGAGCTAATTAATCTCTACTTTTAAGCTCTTTTGCTGCACCCATTTTGTTGAGTACAATGTCCTGTGGGTTCAGAAAGGGAGAAGCATATTTTGTCACACACAATTTGTCATTTGGAGCTGAAAATAAAATTTCTAATCCACTCTGATCACTTTCCTGAAATCCACTGATGATGGCCATTGGACAGTTCCACCTTGCCCTTTCCCAGACTCACTGCTTTGAAAGAGCAGATTTTCAAATTTCTTTGTTACTATGGTATCAGTAGTTTCCAGTCTAGTTATCAAAGGCAAAATTGGAAAGTTGAAGCATTGCTACTGGATATGCTCAGTAGATAAAATCTCTGTTCTGAGAGATAATATGAGGGGAAGGAGTAGAGCAGAGTACTGAGAGTCAGGAAGCCTGGGTTCCTTTCTTACTCTGCTATTTGGCTCATTGTAGGGCAAATAGGCAAAAATGTTCAAATACTGTACATCCACTAAATTTGCGTATCTCAGTTTTTAGTTACCTTAACACTTATGGTCTGATTTTTCAGAGAGATTAAGCATGTACAAATCCAGTTGAAGTCAGTAGAAGTTGCATGTACTTATCACCTCTGTCAATCAAGACTTAGCTATGTCTGGTTGGGTACCCACATTTAGAGAACATGTGTTTGAAAATTTTGGCTTTAACCTGTGTGAGCCTCAGTTTCCATGCAAAACAGGGATAGATTTGTAAAGCTTGTGAAATCTTCAGATAAAAAATGCAATATAATTGCAAAGTGTTAGTATGTTGTTATTGCTGCTTTGTGTTATACTTTTTTGTAGATGAGCACGCTAAAAATAATTCCTAGGTAGAAAACAAAACAAATCCTCAAAGGCTGGATAGTGCTACATGAATCTGTTGCTATCAAAATGAGAGCAGCATCAACAGTTGGTCTATGTTCAGAAAGCATTCAAATTCCCTCCTGCCTAAAGGCCTACAAAATTCATCCCTATTCAGGGAGATGATTCTCTGGCTGCCAGAGAAAACAATCTATAGACTAAAAATTCTTAGGTGTGTCTTCATGGGAACAAAATTTCTCTTCATCCCTCCAAGATCATGTCCACCAAGCACATAATTTCATCGTTTAATTTGACAGTATATAACTAACCAACAGAGCATTTTTAAAGAATGAGATTTTACGAAAATATTTATGCATAATAATTTGGTAATTACAGTCTCTAATTGCTACAATAGAATTGATAGTTTCCTGCTGAGGCTTTTTATCATGGGAGAAGTGCCGCATCACACTCTTGACACTTACTAAGCAATTGAAAGCAAGTACTGGGTGACTTCCAATAGTGGTGGCAGCATTTCCCTGATTTTTTTAATCACTAAAATCATAGGGAAGCAAAACATGTTGCTCTCAGAAGTCCTTATGAATTATCTAAGACTTGTAATAACACCCTCAAATGGTGTTCTCCTGATGTACAACAGAACATTTAGTGACAATGCTGGGTTGTGAAATTAGAAAACCTCATAATTGACTAGAAGGGGTGATCATTTTGGTTTCAATAAACTTTATAAGAAATAGGAAAAAGAAGCTCATTTTAATAACTGTTGATGATAGACATGAAGTGACTCAGGCAGAAACTATCGCCTGGCTGGGTCAAGATTTATTTGATGACTTTTTGTCAGCAGCTGACCTCAAGGGAGTGAACAACGTTCTAGCAAACTGGCTTTTGCTGTCTACAGCTGCTGCCAAGCAAAGTGAGCTTACTTGAGACGGGGTGAGGCATTTAAAGGACAGATCTCTTTGCATTATTAACACACATCTACTCAGCTACTACTGATGGAACAAAGGCCAGCATGTGTAGGTAGTGGATTCCTGCTCTGTTTTCTTGTTTTGCCACATATATGCATTTACCAGTCTTAAAAACACACAATTAAAAAAACACAGGTGGGGACTAGCAGAGGTAAAAGTCCCCTCAGCCAAAGGGACTATGCTTATTTCAGAATCTGATGACTTGAGTAACAAGTAGAAATAAACTGGTTTCCCCAGGGCCACTCAATAATAACAGCTAGCTGACAACCCTATACGTTGCACATGTGTAATTTGGAAAGTCATGTGCCTCCATATGCCAATATGTTTGGGATGTAACCAGAGCTGGGTAGTGTGGGATGGAGCTGGAGCCTGTGACCATGAGGATCCTGGTGTATGGGCTCCCTTTGGGGTGGAGCCTGTGTCTACGGGGGAGCAAAATGGAGACAGGGAATAGGACCCCATGTGCCAGGTTGCAGCGCGACTCAAATTTGGCCGGCCCATCGTCAGTCCATCATGCCAGCAGGGACGGAGCTCTGCCATTACACCACCCAGTTCTGCTAGTTACTGCCTCCCCTATTGCAGAGGGGTGTCCTGACCTGCTCGCAACCAGGAAGTGGGAGGGCTTGCCCACAATCAGTTTGATTGTGGGAAAGGGGAACCAGTGGGAAGGCAGGACCCAGAGCTGGGTGGTGTGGGGCAAACCCCCTCCTTCATGAGTGATGGAGAGGACAATGACAGTGGTATTTAGCAGTGACCACACAGCTTTTTCAAGCACATATATTTATTAATAGAGTAAAAAGTATTACAGAGGAAACCTATTCAAACAAACAAACCAGATTTAAATCCACACTAAACCAACCAGAAATCCATCTTCCACAGGAGGAGTCTGATAGGCCAACATCCCTTCCAACCCTTCAGTAAAAGTTGGGACCGCCTCCTGTTGCTTGAGAAGAGGTCAGCCCCGTGAGTTTCATCAGAATCTGCAAAATCCAAGTGATATCTTGTTTTGAAAAGGCTGTAGCCCTTACGGTTGCAAAGAAAACCCTGCAAATGTGAACATAACACCCAACACTAGTTTCCAATATCTGCTGCAGACACAGGGCTTGAAATAATAGATGTAAAATAAGTGTGTTCTCCTTCCACCAGCTGCTTTAATTTATTGCAGAAGGGTGGAAACAATTTATTCACAGGCAGGAGGTTGAGGATATATAAGTCTGTTTCTTCAAATCCGAAGACACATGAGAATAGGAACCCCAAGGAATTTGAAGAAAGTCAGAGCCTTTGTTTATGCTAGGAAATTTTCCCTAAAATTGCGCACTAATCCTACCATGTAGAAATTTTTTGTTTTGTTTGTTTTTCGTGGAGGAAAGAGGAGAATACAGGGATCATTGACATGAGGTCTGGCTGGACAGTTTCCTTCACTGATGCTAGCAATGGTAGGAGCTCAGCGTATCTCTCTCTCTCTCTGCCCAGCTTAGTGTCATCTGCAAACTTGCTGAGGGTGCAATCCATCATCCCATCCCATCATCCAGATCGTTAATGAAGATGTTGAACAAAACCGGCCACAGCACAGACCCCAGGGGCATACTGCTTGATACCGGCTGCCAACTAGACATTGAACCGTTGATCACTACTCGTTGAGCCTGACAATCTAGCCAGCTTTCTATCCACTTTATAGTCCATTCATCCAATCCATACGTTTTTAACTTGCTGTCAAGAAAAAGGTGGGAGACCGTATCAAAAGCTTTGCTAAAATAAAGATATATCACATCCACCACTTTCCCCATATCCACAGAGCCAGTTATCTCATCACAGAAGGCAATTAAGTTGGTCAGGCATGACTTGCCCTCGGTGAATCCATGTTGACTGTTCCTGATCACCTTCCTCTCCTCCAAGTGCTTCAATATGGATTCCTTGAGGACCTGCTCCATGATTTTTTCAGGGAGTGAGGTGAGGCTGACTGGTCTGTAGTTCCCCGGATTCTCCTTCTTACATTTTTAAAGATGGTCACTACATTTGCCTTTTTCCAATCGTCCAGGACCTCCCCCAATTGCCACGAGTTTTCAAAGATAATGGCCAATTGCTCTGCAATCACATCAGCCAACTTCCTCAGCACCCTTGGATGCATTAGATCCGGCCCCATGGATTTGTGCATGTCTAGCTTTTCTAAATAGTCCTTAACCTGTTCTTTCACCACTGAGGGCTGCTCACCTCCTCCCCAGACTGTGCTGCCCAGTGCAGCAGTCTGGGAGCTGACCTTGTCTGTGAAGACCGAGGCAAAAAAAGCATTGAATACATCATCTTTTTCCACATCATCTGTCACTAGATTGCCTCCCCCACTCAGTAAGAGTCCAACACTTTCTCTGATCATCTTCTTGTTGCTAACATACCTGCAGAAACCTTCTTGTTACCCTTCACATTCCTTGTTAGCTGTAACTCCAGTTGTGCTTTGGCCTTCCTGATTACACCCGTGCATGCTCGATTAATATTTTTAGACTCCTCCCTAGTGATCTGTCCAAGTTTCCACTTCTTGTAAGCTTCCTTTTTGTG